TAAAAATAAATATAAAAATGAATATAAAAATATATAAAAATTGAGAAAGAAAGATGGATGAACCGCGTTGCTTAAAATTATTCGATCAACAGTTTTAACAATCGAATATTTTTATAATATTATATTGATATAATTTAGTGCAACGAACAAGACTTCGACGAGAGCAGTTCTAATAAATAACTAACGCGATATAATACAAAAGTAAATATAAAAATATATAAAAATTGAGAAAGAAAGACGGATGAACCGTGTTGCTTAAAATTATTCGATCAACAGCTTTAACAATCGAATGGCTGAGAGAATTATTGAAGACCTCTTGGAACTCCTTTCAAGCTGCAGTAATGTCTCCCTAATTGACGCTCAGATTGTACACAAAAATGGACAATTCGAGAAGAAGAGATACGATTATTCGAGTCTTGCAGCTTGCTTTTATAGTCGTTGATAATTCGTGACTAGAAAAATGAACCGCAAGGATCGAGAATAATCGCATCTCCTCTCCCTAAATTGGCCATTTTTGTAGACAATCCAAGCGTCAGTAAGGGAGACATTACTGTATTGTGCATTTACGACGAAAATGGGTATATGAAACACGAAATAGTGAAACTATCGAGACTATTTGACAATTTAATTCGACATTTGACATTTTAATTATTCATAGCTCATTAAAATTATTCAAACCGGGAATACATGTCTAATCAGTTTTTCTTTCTGGCGATCGATGCACGTACAGCAATGTCTCCCTAATTAACGCTCAGATTGTCCACAAAAATGGACAATTTGGGAAGGGTAGCCTTGCGAATTCGAGCCTCGCAACTCGTTTTTATAGTTACCGATTGTCAACGATTATAAAAACATGGTGCTAAGCCGGAATAATCGTATCTCATGTTCCCACATTGTCCATTTTTCTGCCCAATCTAAGCGTCAGTTAGGGAGACATTACTGTAATACTGATTTTTCGTAAAAATCCGCGGTCTAACTATCACACGTGGCTACCCAATCAACGAGACTAATCTAACAGGCACTAACATCGAATTCTGACCCGCAGTTACCAGCTGAAAGCACTCGATTCTTCGAAAGTAATCTGAAAAATCTTCGAATATCGATCACGAATACATAATCCCCGAACGAAATTTCCATCGAGTCTCTCGAGGCCCTCGGTACGACAGCGAACTATTAAATATATAAATCGTCGGTCGACGCGATTGAATGCGCTGGCAACAGGAGGACAAATAAGTCACGTATCGTCGGAAGCGAGGCCCGGTCGATGGAGGCCCCATCGACAAACTATCGAATTGAAAGGATCAAGGGCGAGCATTCGCGCGCAAAGACGGGAGATCGTGTCCCGCTAATGGTTTCTCGGTAGGCAGGAGGAGCATAATTCGACAGCCGTGAACGCACGTGGCCTGATCGTTAAGAAACATGTTCCCGGCGTATTGCGTGTGCGTACCTGCGCCGGGAGCCAAGCACTTGCACAAGCCTGTTCCAATTTACATACGTACGGGGCCGGGGCCCGATGATCGGCCGCGGCATGTGTAACGAAATCGTTTCCACGGGGAAAGACGATATATCATAATTCTCCGGTGAAAATCGAATCAATTCACGGCCGCCTACTCGCGCGTCAGGTACTGATGCGCGCCGATAAAAGCGACGGGGGATTTCGCGTGAGCGGTAGCGTCATTTCGCCCAGCGAAATGACGCCAACACCACGACGATGCTCCTCTCGATGCTGTCCCTCGTACCTCGTGCACACCGATTCTCCTGCATCGAATCTATTTACGGTTTTATAGCGAATCATATTATTCCGAATGCTACGACTTTGACCTTTCGTCCTGCAAGCGATAACTCGCTCCGAGGATTTGCTAAACTGATTCAACCCTTGCGTAATGGACGCTTTTAACGAGCACGTGGTAATCATAGCTAGATACATTCTAATGCATGAGTTTTCTCTTAACTTATTCTTTTCTTTTCTTTTTTTTTAACCACTTCTTTGAGATCGATCGTTTGAATGGACTACTGAAAAGGGTTAAAGTAAACCAAACAGCTAGCAATACAATAACTCAGATCCGCATAATCACAAAAAAGGTTTAATTTGAACGCAGTTAAATTATATGAGCCGATTTTTATGATTATTTTAGTAAGAAACAATTCTTAGAAGAATATTCGACACCTGATTAATTTAGTATTATAGCTAGATTAACCCTTTTAGTGCCGGAGGCCGATATATCGGCTCTTGCTGCACTGGCGAGAAGTGCCAGAGCCGATATAACCGTCCACTACTTATAGCGCTTTATAATAATAAAATTTTACACATTTACAATATATAAATATAAATATAAATATTTATGTTATTATGATGAAGTATTATGCAAAATTATATCACAAATATATTTATGACAACATAATTTTGTNATATAAATATAAATATTTATATTATTATAATATTATAATATTATATTATTATTATATATTATATTATTATTATTATATTATTATTATATATTATAATATTATATTATTATTATATATTATATATTATATTATTATTATATTATTATATTATTATAATAATATT